AAGTACAAGATTTTCTTTCTCCCCATTTACCGTCTAATTAATCCTTTATAATCTATTTATGGCCACAGAATATGTCTAAACCTTGTGATATATTGACTTGAATTCTAGAAAAGGTAAAATATTATATATATATATATATATATATTTTCAGATGTGTGGCTCTTCTGCACTTCCTCAACCTGTCATGCAAAAATAGGGAACCATCACGGGTCACTACCTTTTAGAACAGTGTGGGATGACAGAAGTAAGTGAACTCAAATTCAGGACCAATTTTCATGTTATTTGTTTGCTTCATGCAACAATCCGTTGATGTTGTTTGTCATAAATATTCTCATGGTTATGCTGTTTGACTGGACTGGATGTATACAGTTTGTCACGGCAATAGCAAATCCCTTAAGGGTTGCACGGAAGGCAGGCACAGTTGGCAAACCATTTCCTGGTGTGCAGGTTAGCTGGGATTCGTTTTTTTATGGTTTCTGATTGTTTTGAAAAGAGATATGTAGTGTCTTTAAACATGTGATTTGATAACAATTCTTCTTATTGTAAACTATTGGATGTAGTTAAAGAAAAAAAGAAAAAAAAAAGGAACTTCATAATATATAAGCAGCGGCCAAATTGAAGGATTCATAATAAACTTTTGATCAATGGGGAAAATTTGGACAGTGTCATTTTGCTTGTTTCATGGAGAATGAATATACCAGGGTGTCTTTGACTGTTGAAAATTGGTTTTCTCCAAAGATGTATCTGCAATAGTGGTGCTGGAGTTGGAAACAAAAATGAAACGAGAAGACTCAAACTCTGCTTTGAGTTTGGAAGAACTTTGCAAATGGGCTGAAGACAAACTTGCTCCATACAAGGTACTGCAGCGTTACTAACTTTCGCTAATTTCCTTTTGTCATGCTTAATACTGAATCATGATCTCTGGACCTTTTGAGTTCAATGTCAGCTTGATTTCTGCAGATGTCATTATTAACTGGAATCCTGTTTAATACTGTATACTAAACAATGAGACAGTATTACGCGCATAGTTGGTCCTTTAGAAATGGCTTAGTGATATTTTGAACTAATAATCAGCTATTTCAAGTCTCAATCAAAAAGGCTATAAATTCCGAAAGCATTAGCTGAAGCGAAAGCTTTTATCTTCCACCAGACACCAAGATTTTATGATGTTAAGAGGATAGAGTTCCTCCCATTTTACACTCTCTCATGAACCTTCCATCCATCTGAATTTTCAAACACCCCTTTTAATTATTCAATATTAATGTGTCTTAGGGACCAATCAAATTCCTGGAACTTTATTCCTGGAGCTTTCATTGCCTCAGCAAGCCAAGTATGCCAGAATCTCTCTCCCTTTCACTCCCCATGACATAAACTAAAACGTAAAAATCAAGTCTCCTGTCCTCAATGTGTAATTCTCAGAGTAAAATCAAAAGAAAAAAAGAAGCCATTTTCTTTTTAAGTGTGATTATCGTGAGAAATCCATCCATTTAATGTTTTTGATTAACTCGTGCATTTCCTGAATTATGTTTGAGCATTGACTACAATAACTACCATGTGTCTGCTCCAACAAGATTAATGTTGTGGGATTCTCTTCCTCGTAATGCCATTGGAAAGGTGAGTTTCTTCTTGACATTTTGTTTCAAGCTAGTACTGTTTAATGTTATTCTGCCAGTTTACTTGCTGTGCAAATATTTCCAAGGTTTTTTCGTTGACATGCTTTTTAGTTAAATTTCCAGGTGAACAAGATAGAGCTGAAGAGACAGTTGGGTAATGAAAAGTAAGCTACCTTTATTCTGAACTAGATGTTTGAATACAATAAAGGTCAGAAGCTGATGATGCTTCCCTTGTGCCATCCTCTGAAATGACAAAAAGAGAGAAAATGTTACAACTTTACTCAATACCAACTATTTTTGCACGTGGACAGTTGGAGCTTGGTAGAATGTTGTTGGATGCTTAATTCTTGTGATTAAGATTTAAATCGTGACAATTTCAAGTACAAATAAAAAAAATATATATATATATATATATATATTAGCTTTTTTAATCTGTACAATGTACGAGATTTTTTATTAAAATTTTCATAATTTTAAATTTATTTTTTAATTATTTATCTAATATATAATCATATATTTATAAATGTCAAGTTATAATTAAATGATAATTTAGAGATAATAAATTATAAATGATATTATTCATCTAAAATAAGTCTAAACTTTTATAAATTTTTAATAATTATAAAAATCTTTTTTTTCATTAAAAAATATTTTCTTCAATTTATTAGCTAAATACTAAAAATTTTGCTATTGCTTTTTCTTGTTTGATAAAAATCAAGAATCAATATTTAAATAGTTAAAATTAATAATTATTTTTATCATAATGTTAATTAGGTGATGTATATATATATATATATATTTGATTGAACAATAAATCACAATTATTAATTTTGCTATAATCATTTATTTTTTTAGTTCTTATTTTTGACATACTTCAAGTAATTATTACACAAATATATTGGGTTAGCAATTATTTCTATATATGTAAACAAAATAAAGTTATTTTTTAGATAAAAGAAAATAATAATTCTTTATGTTATGCTTAAAAACTTTTTTTTGAAATATTTTTTCTTTTTAATCATTTTTAACGTAATTGATAGTATTTTTTATGAGTTAGACATGGTAGTGATCATTATTTTTCTCCTATCATCCATTATAGACAATAAAATTCAATAATAAAAAGTATAGTAAAAGGAAATAGAGAATATAAATTTACATATTAATTTATCAAAATTAAATATATACAATAATAAAATCAAATATGTTAATAAATTAACATAGAATAAAAGCATTGAAGAAATGAATAAAAAATATATATATAATACAAAAAGTTAATTATAATCAATCTAAGCAAAATTAAAAAAAGTTATGGACTAAAGAAAAACAAATAAATTAACCAAATATATAATATAAAAATATTTGAATTAGAGCATAAATAAAACATTATATTTGTTTTCAAAGCAAAAACATATTTTTATCTAATTTTTTTATCAACATTCAAATATCTCATATTTTCATATAAAGATGTAAGCTTTTATTACTTTAAAAATATATGCTTTCTAGTCAATAATTCATTAACTTATCTAAAAATATTAAATTTAAATAATCTATTAAATAATTTTTAATTTTTGATAGTTTTTGATTTGAAGTTAAATAATTATCTAAAAATATTAATTTAAATAATTTATTAAATAGAATTATTTGACAAAAAATAAAATTTTATTAAGCATATATATTTGGAATTGTCATTAAATTTAAAAAAATATATAAATTATGATTTAATATATTTAAATTCAAATCTTATACAAAAATTTTAATCTTAGATAGATATTAATTTCAATTTAAATAATTATCCCAAATATTAAATTTTAATAATTTATTAAAAAAATTTTATTTGATAAATAAAATAATATAAATATTATCATATGTGTCATTAAAAGAGATTATCTACTTAAGCATCCACATTAGTAACTTAGATAATGTAACTTTGTATATTGTAATATAATATATATATATATATATTATATTTTGAGGGAAATCAAGTATTATCTTTTGATCGGACTCCAATTAGTAATTGATTGTACAGAACTACATATATTTCTGAAGGAAGAAACTATATTTCTTTTATTCTTTTGGCATTTTTTAAGGTTAAAATTTGATTTTATAAAGCTTGGATTGGCATCAAATTGATTAACTAAGATTTGGAAATTGACGAGGCATATTGGATACTGCGGCAATTTTACTGTTTTCATCTTTGGTTTATTTTTGCCTAACTTTTTGCCATGTATATACACATCACAAGATTTTTTTTTTTTTTTTGCCACAATATCACAAGATATCTTAGGACAAGAAGAAATAATAAAATACAATATAAAACTTTACCAGCAATCTTAAATGTAAATCTTTATATTGCATTTATATTCTATTAATTATTTTTAATAGCTTATATCTCTCTTAATTAGTTTTACTATTTACTAGGAAAAAATTGACAAATTTGATAATTATTAGGAAAGCCTACAAAAAAGCTTGATTATAAATAATGATTTGGCTCGTGGTGCTTACCTGTGTAGCATATGATTTGTTGAATTTTTAGAAGTGATTGATTAAATAGATGTATTTAATATATATTTTTTAAATTTTGAATAAATTAAAAGTCATTAATAAAAATAAAATATTAAATAAAAATTATGAATGATTGATGCATTAGCTCCAATTATTTTTTAGATTTCATATCTTTCCATTTTTCCATTTTAAAGTTTGGATAAAAAAAAAAGTGTATATAAAAATAAAACAATGAAGACTATTACAATTGACTTGTTTTTTTTTTATCCTAAGACTATATTTGATGTATAAAATGATAAATATGATAGAATAATAATTATTTTATATCATATTTAGTTTGTATTTAAAGAAAATAATAAGATTGCAAAAATGATTAATTATCCTTTTGTTATAAGACGATTTAATCTTTCAAAGTGGATATAATTATTTTTAATATATGAGATTAAATTTATATGTTTTATTATACTCTTAAAAATTAAATCAATAATTTAAATTGTATAAATTTTGAAAAAAAATAATTTTGACCAATAAATAAAATTATCTTATCTTAATTCTTGTACACATCAAATATAAGATAATATGACATTATTTAATTTAATCTTATTTATAATATCATCTTATCTTATCTTATCATAATATTGTACACTAAACATACCTAAAAAAAAAAAAAAGAAAATAAAGTTAATGACAACAAGAAACTTCCATGAAAATGATCGAAACAAATTTGGATCCCAGCTCCCACCTCCATAGTAAATATCTATACGTTCTATACCGTTTGAAATGGTCCATTTCCAATACGGCAAAGATTTAAAAAAGGAAAAAGGAAATCACTCCTTGGCAAAAGGGTCAAAGAGAAATTACAAGAACCGATAGAAGTTCGAAGATATGGAAGACAAGGCCATGCAGAGATCCCTGAAATGGCTACAAGATCTTATAAAAGGGGCCATAGGCTACGGGTTGGAGATCCGAGCCCTTGAAGGATTGTGCATCACCCAAGCTCGAAACGGATTTATACGATCTAACTTGATCGTACCAATTCATGCCTCAGTACAAAATCTGAATCAACTAGTATTTCGTTTTTCTTTGTTTCTTAAATTACGACAATTGATTTGACTATGAAATATTTTTCTTTTTCTTTTTTTTTTAATAAATAGGATGCTGATGGGAATTGGCATGTTGGAGCTATAGCAACCTTGATCGATGTTATCGGAGCTGTTGCTGTTTACTCTTTCGCCAATCGTGTCATAACCTCTGTTGATTTCAGCAATTCATATTATTCAACAGCTAAGATTCAAGTGAGTGTTTCCAGTTTAAATCTTGTTACTATATCTAGTTTTTCGTTCCTGTTTTTTATAAATTCTAGCTGTTGATTGGAATTCGTAAAATATTTGACGCTATATGTAGGAACATGTAGAGATAGATGCAAAGGTTGTGGCAAACCGGGGAAAGCTTATACAAGGGATGGTGGAGGTTAGAAGGAAAGGAAATGGAGAGCTAATTGCTTTGGGAATATTGTGGATGGCTTCAAATAGCCTCACGGTATCTCAAGTGAGTAGGCTTTGAGAACAATATAAATGTATGTTTCTGTTCATGAACAAACGCATGCATATGGCCACTTGAAATTCCATATCTTATTAAGCAAAATTTTGTGTTTTGAATTTCTGAGTAAGTCTGAATTCAATTCACTGATTCAACTTGTAATTTTTTCCAATACAAAAATTAGGCATTCTGGGGGAAAAAAAAGAATGAAATCTAAGATCATTGAAGGCGAATTCATGCAAGAAAATAAATGTTATGTAGGTAGAACATTCAACCTGACAATCAGGCTCATTAAGATTGACAAGATTCAAGACTGAGAAGTGTTCTATTCGATCCTCCGAGCTTTTTAATTCCTTCATCTCCAAATCTGAGTATTCTCAGGTTTATTACGCCTCTGATATATATCCTTCATCAATAAACATCTACAAATGATGTAATTAAGCACATTGTGAAGATTCAACCCTGTTACAAGCCAATAATAATTTTCGCAGCGAGCCTCATTAAGATTGTCTGCAACCCAAATTGGTTTTCCATCTCCTGAAGTAATCTCGTTGACAATATTAAAGAGAGCACTACTCAATAAATGTGCCAATGCCAGTGAGAGAAAGAGCAGGGAATCACCAGTACTTAACATGGTCTTAGGGAACTCGTGATGATGAAACTCGAATTGCCCCAGTGAATTGGAAGACTCAGCTAGCCCATCACGATTTGCAGTGGGTGAAGCCACATTATTGGCATGTTTACCATTGCACTGGGATTTTTCACATGCCCCTCCTGGATTTCTTTGCTTAGTCTCGCATTCTCAACCATTGCTGTGAGTCCCAAGGCTAAGACAGGGAGGAATAACCCAATTTCCATCGTCAATTGGACACTGATACGTACTTGCTTACGCTTGATCCTTGATGCCAATGGAATTATCGAACGCTTATAGAGAACAACCCAAACCGCTGCTGTTCCATAATCGAACACGGTTAGCTAAAGAGGCACCTGGTGATAGGAGACCTCCAAAAATGTGTCTATTCATAGTACTATCCTGCAGTACCAGAAACCATTGTCAGCTTCCAGCTATTGGTATCAAGATCCCTGTAGATTTACCTGACAATATGGAACATCACATGCACTACAAGAAAATATTGTATTAGCAGCGGTTTTATAGTAGCCATTCACTTACAAACTCAGCTAGCTTTCGTGTTTTTATAAAACTTAAGATATTTATTATTAAAACGCCATTAAATATTTAAATAACGGTGTTGTTAGTTATAAACATCACTCAAAATTTGATATTAATGACGTTTATCGACTAAAACACCTTGAATAATCTTGCTTTAAAAATTTCAGTGAATACTAAAGGCATTTTTGACAAAAAATCGCTTGAATAATCCAATTAAAAAAATTAATAGGGAATTACTGAAGGCGTGTTTTGGCAGATAGCATCTTCAATAATCCCATTATAAAAAAATGTATCGATTATTAAAAGCGTTTTCTACAAGAAACACCTTTAATAATTGGACCAAAAAATTTCACAAGCTTATTGAACAAAAATGCCTTCAATAAATATTATATCAAAAATTTTGGATTGTACAAATGTTAACCATAAGGTGATAGGTTCGATCCCTCCATTTCATTTTTGGGTTTTTGCAGAGATTATTTGTAATTGATTATTCTAGGCATTTTTTTGGCAAAAACGCCTTCACCAATTGCTTTAAAAAATTTTGCAGAGACTATTGAAGGCCTTTTTCTATAATCCATAGGAAAAATATGAAATCGATTCTTGAAGGCGTTTTTGGCCAAACTCGCTTTCTATAATCCAATCAATAAATTTTTATTTGTAATTATTAAAGGTAATTTTTGTCAAAAACGCCTTTAATAATCCATAGACAAAAGTTGGAACGGATGCTTGAAGGCGTTTTTGGCTTAAAACGCATTTAATATTCCAGATAATAAATTTGAATGGTTGGATTATTGAAGGCGGTTATTTACAAAAACGCCTTCAGTAACATTTTGTTAGGGATTATTCAAGGTGTTACCCATAAAAAATGCCTTTAATAATCCATTCGATTAATTTTTAATTAGTATTATTGAAGGCGATTTTTTTTAAATACCTTCAATAATCCATACCAAAAAGTTAAAACGGATTCTTGAAGGCATTTTTTTTGCCTAAAATGCCTTTAATATTTCACACAATAAAATTTTTGGTGAGATTATTAAAGGCGGTTTTGGTAAAAAAATACCTTTCAAACTTTTTGTTAGGGATAATTCAAGGCGTTTTCTTACTAAAAATGCCTTCATTAATCCCATCAAACAAACATATTTGATATTGTATATGTCAAGTCAGTTGTAGCTTTATGCCCAAAAAACATTTGATGTCGGTTGTATATTTATGCCCAGAAAACATTTGGTTTATATATGTGATACTATGAATTACATTTTGAAATTTACATAGTGAATATTATTATATTTAATAAATTATCCACACATCCAAAATTAAAACTGATAACGTTGTTATATTAATATACTTTTTTGAAATAATCGTACTTAATAATATATTAAGTACACATAATGTATTCATATTAAGTATACCAATAATATTAAACCAATACCCCAATGTACAAATTTAAAGTTTCCATTCAACATGGCATGTTAAAAATATTATAACAATTTATTCCTAATATATTTACATTCAACCAACAATGTCTAACCTCAAGGTTTATCAACATTGATAAATGATAATACATACTCACACTATTCTTTACGGACTTCATCCAGTTCCTCTTCTGTGGAAGTTTTCTTTACTCTCCTACTAAAAAAAAACTCAGAAGTAAATGTTAATAAATGAGAACATAATGCACATATATTTTTTTTGAAGATATAATGAGTTTATGAAATTTATACTTACCTTGAATGATGTGGTCATAAAATCATTTAACACAATCTCCTGCATAAAATGAAGATATAATATCCATATTCAGTATTACTAGGTTAACGAGATATCTAAAAATTAAATACATGATATTATGAAATATTTATCTACACAAACTTAGCATAAAAGAATAAATTTCACATTTACTGGTAATGACACCCATTTCAGTTTCTTTATATTCTTATCGAATGCAGTTATTACCCTAAATTGAAAAGAAAAACATTATTTAATACTTAAATAAAATTACTTATGAAGAAATATAATATATATAATATAAGAAAGTGTAATACCTCTTTATAAAAGTTTGAATATCGAAGTTAGGCATCGTCGTTGGATTAACTGAATTAAGTAAGTATGACATTAAAGATTTGGTGTCAATCACAATAAGTACCCAATGACGACTGTAAATAATAACAATGATATACTTAGATTACGAATCAGATCAAATTTGAGTAAGGTTGGAATATAACTTACTGCGCATTATACGGAAGCAAATAATAACCAGCTGGTCTTTTCGTGTATTGGATCACATGATTAGCATGATAAGCAATTGTGCCACTCTGCTCACCAATGAAGTTGGGGTCAATGAATCTAAATCTGTTGGTCAACTATTTCCCCTTGAGCTCTCTATATAGGAAGCTGCACAATAACAATCAACACTGATAGTTAGTATTGCACAGTAATATAGATTACTACATATTGAATGTGAATATTTGTATTTATAAGCTAACCTCATATAAGCAATGATATCAACAGCTGATAATTCATCTAGTTCACAAAATTCTTTAACTTTCTTCACACAAATGAAAGAAAATGATGGTTTATCAAATAACCCTTCTTTAAACTTAATGGTTATAAAGTTTCTTTCGGATAAATGCTTCAGTGAATATTTGGATAACTCATCCATCGTAGCCTGAATAAGGGTCATATTGTGAGTTCGAACATCCTGCTACAATATTTAATGAAATATAAGTATTAAAACCAAATCAATAAATATAATAAACAAATTAATATTAAAATTATAAACAAAATCATACTTCTTAGGTGGTAGTGGATGATGAGTTCACTTCTTTACTTGCAACGAAAGCTTTTCCTATGTGGATGATGCTATCAGACCGACCTACTAGCATGTTATGCTGCATTGCTGCCAACATGGACTCCAAAGCATTGAATCTTTCCTATTGCTCATTGAGGCGCTGCTTCTGGTTATCAATTTATTGTTGTTATTGCTCAATGATTGCTTCATATTGTGCATTTCTCATTCATGAAGTTTTATGTTGATTACCAAAAAACTTTGATGGCAAGACAAATTTACCAATCTCACAAACCCGACTAGGCCTTTCTTTAGCGCCTAATGCTAAAGACAAAGGATCTTCACCATATTGGGTTGTCAGTTTACTAGATTTGACTTTGGCAGCATAATCATCCTGAAAGACAATAATAATATAGGCTATAACAATAAATCTATACAAGCTAGTATACATTCATGCATACAACCACAATGCCAATCATACATTATATTAAAAAAATAGTTATACATATAATTTTTTTACCATTTTTTCGGTTGCTTGATCTACAAAGGATCCATCCTTCCATAGATGTCTTTGTTTTTAGACATCCTATCTGGAAATTTCGGTGCCAAACTCGCTGATTTTTATTAAATTATCGCAATAAAAGAATCAGAATGTATGAAATGAATGTTCATAAATATTCATTAATGAGTATAAAACAAGTGTGTGAATATATACAAGCTCATACTTCACATTTGCATATCTCTTTCTCGCTATCTAATGGTGATATTGTTGTTTGGCCCGAATGTTCCATTGGTTTTCTTTGATTTTCTACAAAAGAAAGAAATTACATCAATCACATATGAAGATCAAAGGATATATTGCATAAGGACTTATAAACATTTTTTTTGGTAATGAGTTTGCGTACTAAGAAATCCTCTGAAAGTCAATGTTGAACAAAATTTATCCAATCTTCAACATTTATCACATCTGCATATGCCACAGGTGAAACAACTAATACATCACTTTCACCAACCAGCGGTAAAATATATTGGGTTATCAATATGCTTTTAAAGTCTCTAAATACTTTCCTAGTAAATTGCAACATAATCTTTTTACAGTCAATTGAAACATCAAACCGTTCCTAAATAAATTAACAC